GGATGTATTTCGCTGTATGTGAATGAATGCAGTTAAGTCCCAACACATCAGCATGGCTAAACCTCCCGCTGCTTGGCCAAAAAAACACCATATGTTTTGGACTCTGTAAATAATCACCCTGTGGATTAAGGGTGTGAGAGCCACATAAATCTCCAAGGTGTGTATACAGGCGAGATCATCCCGTTGTCTGTATGTTTCTTGGCCAATCTGTTTGACTTCTGCTACAGGCCCGCCAATATCCTCTCTTTGTATCTCACCTCCCCACCCCCACCACCACCACCCGAGAGGCTCTAAGTTTAGCTGGAGCTTTTCATCCGTCCTTATGCTGTCTGTCAGCGCAATTGACGCACGCTCCACCTGATTAAGATGGATGTGGGCCTGTTTTCTCGTATGTCCGCAATCATGACTGATTGTAGTCATCGCAGGTCCCCTGATATACTTGATCGCTCAGCGTTCGTGCTCAAGTGGAACATTAGTTAGGAGCTGATTGCTGTGAAGTGTGAAGTACCAGTCTGCAAATCACGACTGCCCTCTACTAAGAGGTCAAACTGCATCATGTGACGTGGTGGGCATCATTGAAATGCTATTAACGTGCTTTTGAATTAAAAACAAGCAACCTTGGTGTACTGAACATGAGTCATCCGCTGTGTTGAATAACATGGAGCGAGCGGAGATGAATCCTGGAGTTATATAGCCAGCATCCCACACGTTAAGACTGTGGATGTGGGTTGCGAGAGTGCGCCCACTCGTCACGCTCATGACGTCTTTCCTCCGCTCTCTTTCACAGTCAGCCAGACCCGAGGCTTTCCCTCACCTCCACAGGTCTCAGGCCGAGAACACAAAAATAGGACCCAACTGCACCTACTCACAGGTGAGACTATATTCATAGAGAAAGACATAAGAGGTTACTTAACAGTGATGATTCATTTGTATTGATTCGCGAAGGCTTTGTGAATCATTCTACTGTAAGGCTGATTCTGGCTGGGAGGAAAACTGTGAGATGGGTGCAGGGTATTGTGAACAATTTCGGTCTACCTGTTGAATCAAATCGGTCTAGGACACAAAGCGATTTCACTGACTGAAAGAACTCTTCGTGGATAATGCCTGACTAGAAATCCTACAAAATAGCTATATGATATACACTACCATTCAAAAGTTTGGGATTGGTATAGGATTGGGATAGGGATTGGTATATTCTTTATATTTTAAAGAAACTAATACTTTTATTCAGAATGCATTAAACTGTTCAAAAGTTACAGTAAAGACTTGTAATTTAAAAAATTTTTTCAAATAAATGCTGTTCTTTTGAACTTTTCTCATCAAAGAACCCTGAAAAAATTTATCATATTTCCACTAAAATATAAAACAACAATTGTTTTTAACATTGATGATAATAAGAAATTTTTCTTGAGCAGCAAATATATTAGAATTACTTCTAAAGGATCGTGTGACACTGAAGACTGGAGTAATAATGCTGAAAATTCAGCTTTGCATCACAGGAATAAATTACATATTAAAACATATTAATATAAAAAACAGTTATTGATCAAATAAATGCAGCCTTGTTGAGCATATGAGACTTATTTTTAAAAAATCGCACCAAACTCAAACTGCTGAATGGTATATAAATTATTCATTAAGAATTTCTCATTCTTTGTTTTATTTTGTTTAGCTAACATTTTGCTTGCTGGACGCACAGTCTAGCTTATATACTATGCAAATGTTTTTTTCACATATCATGTGTTTTTACTTGATCAGGCATTACGAACAAGGATCCTAAGCTGACTCAACTCCCCAGGTGGACCGAATTGTTTGAGTCACCATAATCACTGTAGACACTGTGGAAAACACGTTCCTCCAACGTTCAGATAATTGGTTGTCTGATTATTATATTTTACAGTTGGCATCATCTAATCTTGAATACTATAAATATACATGACTAAATATTATAATAAAATGTTGAAATTATAAATCATCTAACGTGACACAAGCTAGATATCTTAAAGGTGAAGCATCTGTAATTTCTGTGCCACTTGCGTCAATTTATCATAAAAAATGTAACATTTTTATAAATGTTAACTTAATAATAAATAGCAGTATTTACAAGACGTGTTGTGCAAAGACTTAAGTGAGCAGTTATTTTATGTAATGAATAAAAACAAATCAGCAAATCATCTAAACAAACTGATTCACTAAATTAATTGGACTTCCCAACACTATTACTCAACATTTTTTTGGCTGATGCTTATGTGTGAATAGGCTCTTCCTTTGTATGCCGCTATATATAGATGACAACGGATGATTCCTCCAAGCACCTATGGAAAGCGTTGTGTTAAATCTTTAATGTTGAGTGTGAAATGACCCCCTAACAGTTGTCATTAACTAAAAGCAATCTCTTCACAGGTGCTAACTGCTGCTCATAATAAAGTGCTTGGCATAGTGCCTCTGAATGTGGAAATGCGTTGATTCGATTGTGGTTTGAACGCACAGCTGTGGTACATTAACGGTGCACGTTGTTTACGCACAGCCTACTGTATTCTTGTAGGTCTCTGCAGGTGGCCCTATGCTGTATTTAGCTACTGTTTCTATGCGTCATGATCAAGTTGGCAGAAGCCGCAGTATCTTCAGAACACATGAGATTGAATATCGCATCTATCTATAGACACACTTGCTCTTTTTTCAGCCCAGAAGTTTGTCGAGCACTGGCTTTGAACCGTGAGATGGGGGAAAACCGGCAAGCTATGAACGAGCCCCTCCCTTGTGCAGTGCCCTACATTTGTTTCATTGCGAGGGAACCTTTCGTTTTACTCCTTCCATAAGAATATATTGAAAAAAGGAACAGTGTAGAGAAAGTCTGTATCATTCGCTCTTATTACACCCCAAATGTAAGATTTAGAGCATATATTTGTTCCTCTGATGGGGTGGGTTGTTAAAAACTGCCGTATCGCTGCTTTTGTCCCCACCTTGGTCTCAAGCGCCTCTGAAATTCCATCCTCTACGCAGGGGGTCCGGTTCACTGGGGCCGTTGGCCACTAGCCTTGTGTGAAGCTCACGTATCTTTCCCCCCATTTGGCCCTTGTTACTGATTTGTAGAGTTTTTCATGTTGAACAGTACTTGGAGTCTGAAAAGTAGAAAAAAAGAAGTGCCGGTAACAGTTTTGAACTTATTACTTATTACTAATGCATTCCCTTACTGGATCCTTGAACTTTAAAGAAGTTTACTAGTTTCAAATGACACCCTGGGTAGTGTGCTTTATAGTGTCATTTCTAATCACCCAGACACTGACGCTTTAACTCCGTACCGGCAACATGTCAGAATGGCCAGTACGCATGAAAAAGTGCCAGTACGCTAAAGACTAAAATATTGAAAATACTGCGTACCGGCCCACTTCAAGCACTGCTTAGAGTATTGTATCTTTTGTTCTTTAGAAGTGTGGGACGGGAGTTGGTACTTTGCCCCAGCTAGAGGCTCCAGTCAAACAAGTTCTGGTGACCAATGGCAAACTTCTGCATTCGAATGGAACCTTACCCAGTATCGTCAAACAACTGGTGCAAAGCACTCAAGGGAATCAGGTGGGATAACACTCAGAAAATGAAAATACAGTTATCATCACTCACTCTCATATCTATACAGTCTCCTATGACTTCTCTAGAATGCAAAACAAGATTTTTTTTAATGCACATTTTTTCCATATAACAACTGTTAACAGTAATTATGTCTGTCAATCTCCAAAAATAACAAATGGCCCATCAGAAATACCCAGTGTTGGGGAGTAACTAGTTACATGTAATGGCGTTACATAATTTAATTACAAAATAAATGTAACTGTAATCCGTTACAGTTACTGAGAAAAAAATGTGTAACTAAATTTGTTACTTATGTAAATGTCAACAATCACAAATATTTTTGTATTCATATTTACTATTTCTTGCTATGATTTAAAATCTGTATTTAACCTCAGAACAATCTCAAAGTAACAGTAATCAGTGTTGAGTACTACTGTAAGGTTAACCCTGCCTGCTTTAAATGTTTGCCAATTGAAAACATTAGAAATTTAAAAATCAAAAAGTAATCAAATGTAATCAGTTACATTAATAAAGTAACTTAAATAGTAATACTACTTATTACATTTTAAATAGGGGAACTTGTAATCTGTAACCTATATAACCTTCCCAACACTGAAAATACCATAAAATAAGTCTAAATGACTAGAATAGTGACCAAAATTTAAGTCTGTTCTTCACAAGCCTATGGTATAGCTTCAAAAGACTTGGAATATAGTGCACAAGCCGTATGGACCACTTTTGTAGTTTTTGGGGGATTTTTACAGAAAAAAAAAAAACAGTAGCATTTGGAATTAAATGAGGGTGAGTAAAAAATATATTTTTGAATATACAATTCATATAATGGCTACATAAAGACCTTTTCCAGTCTGACTTCCATTTCTTGTAACACAGGAGGAGAGACCTAGGCCACAGTTTCCCAATCGCTTTGGTTCATCTGTGGAAAACCTCTCCGAATCCTTAACTAGGAGCATCATCAATAAATTTGAGAAGATCAGGACATATGAGGGACAGAGGCTGCCTATGTCTCCAACAAGTATGAAGTGCTGGATTTTTGTTTGTTTCATGTATTTCAGAATTTAACCAATGCAATAATCACCTGAAAACAGAATTAGACCTCGCTAATGCTCTGGTAACTCTCTGGTTAATTGGATTATATACTGGTATGTTCACTATTTATGCATGTCTTCCTTCATCTTCCAAACAGCGGCACTGAAGCACTTCCAGAACCAGCTAACAGAATATGAGAAGGAGGAGATCATGGACTACTCTGAGATCTGGTATCTGGGTTTGGACACTAAGAAGATTGAGGGCTCCCAGGGATCCCCACAGAATTCAGGCTATGACGATGAGCATGGCAGCTACTTAAAGGTTAAATATGATATATCATATATCTTTCTGTGATTACATTACTTTTGCCTTCCAGTGTTATTTTAGTATTAGTGAGATACTATTATAGTTTTTATTAATATTTTGAATTCGTTTTTATTTTCATATTTTCCATTTTAATTTTAAAGTTAAAGTAATTTTGTTGTATGTTTTTCTATTTTTTTTTTAATATGTCTATATAGTTTTTATACATTTTATTTAACTTCAGGTTTTACTTTTAGTTATTTTAGGATGTTATAGTTAACTTGAACTAAATGAAAATGAGAAATGTTGCTTTGGCAGCTACAGTAGCTACAAGTTATTTTTTAGATTTCATTTTATTTCAGTTAACATTTATTCTATGGCTACTGGTAAACAGCTTAGTGGGTGACATACTGACCTCATTTTCAACTTCTCGATAAATGATGAAATTGCATTACAGCACGAGGCTGGCTAATTCAGCTACAGGCTGTCAGACTCTCATGTCTGATGTCCCACCCCATCTTCCATGAATGTGCCTTTTCAGAAAGACGTTCTTCAGGATTACTGGGCATTAGACTGAATGCCTTCAGGCTTGACGATTTAAACAGTCATACAGCAGGCATTTGCAGTCAAAACATGTAAACAGTGTCACATGTTGGACAGTCCCAATATGTGCCTGAGTGTTAAGATATAAACAAATGAGAAACATTTATGCATATCAATATTACCATTGAGATGTTTCTCCAAGTAGCAGGAAGTCTGCCACTGCAAAGGAGACGGAAATATTTATGCTGACCTGTTTGTCAGCTGACTCTGTCCTCTAAATACTCTGTGCAGGTCCCGCATGACCATATAGGCTATCGCTATGAAGTCCTGGAGGTGATTGGGAAAGGATCATTTGGCCAAGTCTTGAAATGTTTGGATCACAAGACAAATGAGATGGTGGCCATCAAGGTTATTCGGAATAAGAAGAGGTAAAATGAACCTCCAGTCCATGTGTTCATTCTCATTTCCATGCAATCTTTGGTACAATTGGGGTCAGCGGCCCCTAGGGGGTCCTTGGTGGTACTGCCAAGGGGGTCTGTCCATTATTGTTTGATTTCAAGCTAACTTTTGTGACAAAATGTATATATGAACTAAATAATAATATAATATTAAAATATTGAATTGAATCGAAATTTATTTGACAAGTTTATAAACTGTACAAAATACAAGTATCCCATACACTTAAAAAAAAAAAACTGTCAAGGATAAAAACACAATAAAGCCATTGGCTTATTTCCATTGCGGCCCTCGATGTTAATATAAAGAGTAAGGCTATGTACAGAAAGGACAAAGCAACAGTATCTCCTAATCAAATACTAATAAAAAAAAAATAGTAAAGATAATTCACAATTTAAACAAATGCAATCACTATTGACAATAAAACACCACAAAACAAGCTAACTATCATCACCAAACAGCCATCTTTTTACCGATCTTTAAAAACTCCAAAAATCTTTTACTCCCTTTATTGATAATGGTAAGTTATTCCATGCAATAGCACCAGTATATAAAAACGTATTTTTTCCCACCAAACTTTTACATTTACATGGACAAATATTAAAATTTCTACCGCTAGTATCATAGGAATGCTGTTGTCTCACCATATAAAAATGATTACAATTGAATTGATATTAATTAAAAATAATTACACTTCTTTTATTAATATAATATTAAGTTAAACTTAAAGTTAGAAGCTAAACTTTAGCTAAATGTTTCACTGTCCCCATTAGAAATAGCAATGAAAATATGCACAATATTAAAGACTACTGCCTTACTAAAATAAGCCTTTTTTCACACTTTTCCCTTCATAAGGCCATCAAAAGGTCTTTAATCAGCGCTTAACTGGGTCATAGCTTACACCGGACTTGATGCACTGAAAGGTGTTAAAAGGTGTCTGTTGTGTATCGCATTACGTGTCTGGGCAGAACTGATCTCATGCCCTTCAACTGCCATTTCACCTGCTTTGACTGATGCTTTAACTTTAAACCCTCTCAAAATGCAAAGCTCAGTACTGAAAACTGAATAGCTGCTCTGAATTTGCTTTCAGAAGTCTTTTTAGGTTTATATAATGTACAATATTTGCATTAAACAATTAGCTAGAAAGTCCAGGCTGTCTACAGTAATCCAAATACATTTTAAAATGCATCATTTTCTCTGTGTTTTTGCCTTCTGTCCACACTGAGATAATGTTTTTGTCCTGCGAAAATGAAACAAAAACGGCGTTTTCAAATGTAATGCCTTAGCATCTAAAATGTTGGACGTATTTCGTATATACGGATTTCTGTCATGAAACTCTAGATGGCGCAGTCCGACAGGTTCTAACTCAATCTGACATAATGACATCATCATTCACATGGCACAGCTGATTCTTTTCTTTTCGCCTCAGCAGCCAATGAGCTCGCTGCTCAACATTCAAATACACGGCTAGTACTTGCTGTAGCAGTTGCAGCGCACTTCAGAAACCCTCCACCTTCCCCAGCTCCACCTGTATAGATCTGCTACGGGGTGATTTCATGTATGTTATGGGGGTTATTTTATATATGTTATATGTGCAGCAGCAATATTTCTTACATGCTCACAGCAACATGTCTGTGGATGTATTCGCAGTAGCAAGTCTCTGTACTTGTTTTGCCGCAGCAGCAGCGATGCAGATCTATTCTGCCAAGACTAAATGCATTAACATTGTCATGTCCATTACCATGCTAAACACAGAGAGTTGTCATGACAGAACTGTAGTCCAAACAACTTTTTTGAAAATCCTATGCAGTGTCACTGTAGAAACACTGTCACATTGGGAAAAATAGTAATAATATTCTGCATATTGATAAAGTTAATAATAATTGGTAAGCTTTTTTTCTTTTGACCTTCAGGTTCCATCATCAGGCTCTTGTAGAGCTGAAGATCCTAGATGCCGTCCGAAGAAGAGACCGAGATAACTGCCACAATGTCATTCACATGAAGGAGTACTTCTACTTCCGCAACCACCTGTGCATCTCCTTCGAGTTGCTGGGGTGGGTGGAAAATACTGGAATCATTTAGATGGACACATAATCTATTTCAATTGATAGTATTAAATCTGTATAGTTACACGTGTTAAACATGGGAGTCACGTACTGGACTTAAATAGAATACTTCCCTGTAACTACAGCTTATTATAGACATCTATTTAAAGTAAATATAAAGCCATTTTACTACCATTTTTATGAGTGAAATGGGATATTCAACTAAAAATATATAAAATTAATTTTAAAAAGTACTGTAATTAATTTTAAATATATATTTTAGATATTTATTATTCCCTTTTGATTTCATGTTGGCTTTAAGTTTTCCAGTAGACCACATAGCCAAGGTAAAACAGGTAAAAAATTATGTTTTGTTGTTACAGATCATCATATTAGTTATGATTCATTAGTTAGATGTCACATTAGCCCGGGGTGGTGGTTTGTCCCGACGGTTGCCATATTTAAGTGTGAAGTGAGAGTTTCCTGGTGAAGACCTTTAGAGCTCTGGGTAAAGTGATCAATTAAGTCGCTTTGCAGGAAAAGCAGCTTCATCTCTGGCAGCCTGACCTTTAGAGGACATCAGATGCGTCCTCCCCGTCTTTGGTTACAGTCACAGAATCCTTTAGTTAATGCCTTGATTAGGCCCCTATCACTTTCCTTGCCCACTCATGGTGTGAAGTCTCCGATTACATCAGGCTGTTCACAGCTGCTGTTTTAGGCCTCCCTACTGCCAAAGATAATGACTTTCATGAGTTCCCTCTCAAAGGGCTCTTTAGCATAATGCTTAGCGGTTAACACACTAATAGTGAGATTTAGTTTTTATGGATGTGCTTAAAGACAGGAGGCTGTTGAGTGACAATGGATGTGTTTGTCCAAATTTCAGAGTGAAGTAGTGCCAAAAATGACTGTGCTGCCCTCTAGAGGCATTTAGATAAATGGCATACTGCCATACTCAAGTCCATATCTATATATAGTTCACAAGGTATTAGCCATTAACATTATCCTGTAACATTGTCACAGATAGCTACATGTTAATTGTACCTCTTGTCTCCATATAGAGCGAACCTCTACGAGCTTATTAAGAAGAACAACTTCCAGGGCTTCAGTCTGGGGTTGATTCGGCGTTTTGCTCATGCACTGCTCAAGTGCCTCCAGATGCTGCACAAAGAGAAGATCATCCACTGTGACCTTAAACCGGTAAACTGAAGTCTGTAAAGTGTGAAACACCCCAAAATTAAAAGCTAAATTTAAAAACTGCAATAAAAATGAATACTTTTATTCATCAAGCACGCGTTTAATTGATTAAAAGTGACAGTGAAGACATTTATAATGTTACAAAAGAGTTCACTTTCAAATAAATGCTGTTCTTTTGGACTTTCTGTTCATCAAAGAATCCTGAAAAAAATGTATCACAGTTTCCACAAAAAATATTAAGCTGCACAACTTTTCAATCATGATAATAAGAAATGTTTCTTGAGCACCAAATCAGCATATTAGAATGATTTCATGTGATCATGTGACACTGAAGACTGGAGTAATGATGCTGAAAATTCAACTTTGACATCACACAAATAAAATATATTTTAAAATATATGAAAATAGTGATTTAAACAGTGATTTTAAATTGTAAATATATTTCACAATGTTACTGTTTTACTGTTAGGTTTAGATTTTTTTTATCAAATAATTGCAGCTTTGGTGAGCATCATTTTTTAAATCTTACTGACCTCTAAGGGTTTTAACAGTATTTTATATTAAAATATATATTATTATGTAAAACAGGAATTAATTATTAATAAAAAGAATTAATTAATCAATCAATTAATTAATTGTATTATTACTATTATTAAAAAGAATACATTAAAATCAGTACATCAAATATTACTATGATGCAAAAATACTAAAATATGTATTTATTTAATTACATACTGTACCAGTAACCTTCTATTTTGAGTGGATTAGAAAATTATTATTATTATTTTTTTTTTACCAAAATACCCAATCTACCTTTTGCCCATAGAATGAAAGTGGATGGGGATCAGGGACAGCCATGGTCACCATCCACTTTCAAAGTTTGAGAAAGAGCAGCTGGACATTCAGCTGGATAACTTGTTTAGCTGTTTTCTAATTCAAATAAAAAAATACAAATGCATTCACCAGTAAAATGACCATTTTGACAAAACACCTGTAATCCTTTATTTTTGTCTTAATAGGAGAACATTCTCCTGTCCCAGAGGGGACAAGGAAACATCAAAGTGGTCGACTTTGGATCAAGCTGCTATGAGCAACAGAGAGGTAAGTGCCACACCCCTGTGTAATGAACACATCACCAGATTTATCCTGATTGTGTGATTTACACAAATTGTGTGATTTGTGTGATTTAACCTTCATGCTTTCAATGTGAAACTAGCCACAGCTAGACAGACCATCTTCTCAAACCTTATACACAGTAACTTAAACAACACTCGCACTCTTTTTACTACTATTGAGAGACTGACAAACCCCCCAAGTCAGATTCCCAGTGAAATGCTCTCAGACAGCAAATGCATTGAGTTTGCTTCCTTCTTTTCTGAGAAGATCAATAATATCAGAAAGGCGATTAGCACATCCTCAAGTTATGCAGAGGTCAGACAGGTTCGACTGCAATTTAAAAAAGAAGTTACTATGTCTGTTTTTTAAGCAATTGACAGCAAAATTTTGGAAGAAATAGTACAGCACCTTAAATCGTCAACCTGCTATCTTGACACACTTCCCACATCTTTTTTCAAAAGTGTGCTTAACTGTTTAGAAGCAGATCTCTAAGAAGTGGTGAACGCCTCAATTCTTTCTTTTCCAAAATCCCTGAAAACTGCAGTTGTTAAGCCCCTTCTGAAAAAGAGCAATATTGTCTTTAATTCTGATTCTGGCAAAATATCAGTGCTGATACTACTTAGTGGTACTGATCTTAGTGCTGCGTTTGACACTGTTGATCATAACATACTTGTAGAGAGACTAGAAAACTGGGTCGGGCTTTCAGGGATGGTAATCATCAAATGGTTCAGGTCATACTTAGAAGGGAGAGGTTATTATGCGAGTATAGGAGAGCATAAGTCTAAGTGGACGTCGATTGCACTGTATTTTATATATAATCATTTCCTATTTTTAACGGTTTTAAATTCATTTTAAATCAATTTTTAAATCATTTTAAAAGTTTTTAAATTCCTTGTTTTATTGTTGTGATTATTTTTTATGATTATTTTACTTCCTTTTATGTAAAGCACTTTGAATTACCATTGTGTATGAAATGTGCTATATAAATAAACTGGCCTTGCCTTACACCATATGGGGCAATACATAGCAAAATCTGCAATCGGTAGATTAGGCGCCATTGACATAGATTTGAGAAATGTTTTTTACTGTTCTAACTATGCAAGATTTTTTGCAGCATTTTAGCATTTGCATATAGCGTCATTTTCCCCTCCATTAAAACAGACCTGTGACCCAGCAATTGAGAAACAATGATTTAGTGTTATTTGAACCGAACTCTAATAGACCACTTGTATTCTCATCTGCAGTGTACACTTACATTCAGAGCCGCTTCTACCGCTCACCAGAGGTGATTCTGGGCCATCCATACAGCATGGCAATAGACGTGTGGAGTCTGGGCTGCATTTTAGCAGAGCTGTACACTGGCTATCCCCTCTTCCCAGGAGAGAGTGAAGTGGAGCAGATCGCCTGTATCATGGAGGTGAGAGACTGTATTAGCAGTCAAAGAAGTATTGAAGCCATGCAGTTACAACTAATGGGAGCTGGAGCTTTAAAGCTTTAAAATGGATGCAAAAACAGCATAAAAGTGTCATAACACCTTCACTCATAGTTTATTATTATTGCATAAAAAAAAGCATAAAAAAGAGTATTGGAAAGTCTTTGAATATGAAGTCTTCATATTCTGTGGATTAAAGTTGTTTAAATAACTATGTGCTTTAATGATTCTTTTATAGTTACTTGAAATGCATTAGTTGCTGAACATGATTTTTGATTTTGCAGATTATGGGACTTCCTCCAAATGACTTTGTTCAAACTGCATCAAGACGGAGGTTATTTTTTGGTAAGTAGATTGCTTACAAATAAGGGTAATACTTTACAAAAAGATTCCATTTGCTAACATTAGTTATGAACTAACAATGAAAAATAATTCTAAAACAGCTAGTTTCAACATTTACTTGTACATTATAAAAATCAAAATTTGTATCTGTTAATATTATTTAAAGGGGTCCTATTATGCTTTTTCACTTTTTGAATTTTAGTCCGTGTGTAGTGTGTATGTTTGGGCATAAAAAAGATCTTTAAACTTACGGTTGAGTGCATCAGACAAGACGACGAGGAAGAAGTGCTGCTGTACAAGGGCGTGTCTACGTGGTGGCCAGGGGTGGCACCGGCCCCCACTGAAATTTGGCTGGCCACCCCAGGTGCCCCCCCTACCAGATGTCTTGCCATAGGCTTGTTTTTAGTAAATTTCAAATTTTAGGCGGTTTCTATAGTGTGATCTTAATGACAATGTCGAGGGCGCATAATGTTACACGATCCATGTGCGCGAGGACGAATCTCTCCACTCTCAAGCGGATTTCCTTCACTCACACAAAACTGGACGTGTGCTTTTAAATATTGTTCTTTTATGAATTGGCTCTGCTCTCGCTCAGATACTGCGTGTACATGCTCAAACGTTGTCTTCGCATCACTGAAGACGAAGAGATTTTTTTCTAATTCAGGTGAGGAGTAGGCTTATCTCACCAAATGGAAGCAAGCTGATTATAGTCAGCCTTCTCTAGTTATTTATTTTATTAATAGCCTACTTATTTTAGTTAAGTGCTTAAATTGTAAATATGCATTTATTCAATTATTTTATTTATGAGTGTACACAATGTATTATAACATACTATATATTACATTTTATATCACTGTATTTCTGAAGGAAACCGACTGTCTTCAGAAAATTACTGCTTTGTATACAGCCGTTACCGGGGAAACCCTGATCTCTACCACTCCAACAGCGCCTCCTGCTGGCAGAGAATGAGTTTGCATATATATGCCACCTGGGAAACACTGGACTATGGTATAAATAAATTCATCAAATTGATATGGCAATATTGACGCCATCCTTCACTAAACTGGAGCAGACGGAACTGCTTTGGCAAGGGGCGGGGCAGTGCTAAACACCGTCTAAGCTGTTCGCTAATCACAATGCACTGGGACAGCTAACCAATCACAACACATTTAGTTTTTTGGAAGGCGGGCCTTCATCAAACCCGGAACTAATCGAGCCTTTTGTGCCAGGATGGGGAGAAAGGTATTGTAATAATGTAAATTATGTAAAAAATAATGCGTTTTTCGAACCACCAAGCATGAGAGCATGTTCTAGTACACCCCCAAAACAAATTCAAGACATTGTAAAAGAGCATAATAGGACCCCTTTAATGGTCCTGAGCTGACATAAACTAACAATGAGTGGTTGTATTTTTTAATAACTAACGTTAACAAAGATTAATAAATACTATAACAAATTAATTGGTCATTATTAGTTCATTTTAATTAGTGCATTAACAGGACCTTATTGTAAAGTGTTACTCAAATAACATTTAATTAAAAATGACTTTGTTCATGCTAATTTATTTTGACTGATGTCTTAACATTAAAATGTTTCAATAAGATTCCAAAGGAAACCCAAGGAATATCACCAACAGCAAAGGGAAGAAACGTCGACCCAACTCAAAAGATCTTGCCAGTGTGTTGAAGACCAATGATCCTCAATTTCTTGACTTCATTCGACGTTGCCTTGTGTATGTATAGTAAAGTAATAATTTGATTTCATATTTATTACCACCACAACACACATAACTAGATTTTTTCAACCTGTACCGTTGGGTTCTTGTAGGTGGGATCCCACAAAACGCATGACACCTGATGAAGGGATGCAGCACGAGTGGATCACAGAGGGACGTCTCAACAAGCTCCATCCTAAACCCCGGCCTATCCGGAAAGACATTGACAACAATTATGAATTCACTTACCGCAAAGCGACTTTAAACAGGACAAGCAAGGGTCAGAATATGTTCTTGTACAATAATGATTGATTATAACTATTGGTAATGATATACAAGTGCCCTAAACATGTTTGGATACTCAAGTCTTCCTTAAAAAATATCTTGAATTAATTCATTTTTAATGAATAATTTTGAAATAAATTAAATGTTATATAATTGTTATAATAATTCTGAAATATGATTACATTCAATATTTTATTAATATTTAATTTAATGTAACATTTTAATTTAATATAATTACATGTCATTAATTTTAATTAATTTAACATTTTATTATGTTATGCAAAATATAATTTCTATCTTTTATCTTTCCATAGCTGATAAATCTGGTTCTGACGACAAACTTAAGAGGGTCAGTGACACAGCGACAAGCAAAGGAGGCAAGATGGCATCAGAAGAGCGTCTGCGTCCTATAGGAGCTTCAGCCGAGGAAGACAACAGTGAAGACACAGGCAAAAGTGTGAGCAAAGACAGCAAGTCGGACTCAAGTGGAGAGCGCTCCGTTCAGATCATCATCAAACCTCAGACAGGCTCAAGCACTGATTCTTCAGAAGGACAGGAGCCTCAGTTTCTCCCTCCTATTGTATAACACCCCAAAGAAAAGAATGAGTAATGTTTTTATTGCGTATGGTTTATAATTCAGCCGCTTGGTCTGGACTTACCTAATGTGCGGCTTAGACCGTTTGACTTCTTGTTTGGCAAAAAGTCAAACAAATTATTTATTTTTTAGCAGTTTCTTACTTGTGGTCTGTAAAGTTGCGGTCACACTAGAGTTTGAGCATCCAAAAATTATTTGATGACAATTTTGGCTAGAGGATATGATGCTGTAAGGCTTCTGTTTTTAATAATGAATAAATCACACAAAATCACATAAATAAATGGAGCCTCTATTTATAGTCTAGTGTGACCACATCTTCACTCTCCAGTCTAGAGGAATTAGATTAGTGGTCAAAGAGTGGTAGTCTGTGTTTTTGACTATTCGAATGATTTGATTTCTAAGTAAAGTGAATAATTTGGTATCATTTTGGTGCTTGTGATGTATTTTGAAAGGATTATTATTATGAGATTGTTTGTAACACTAGCATATTTTGCAGAGCATCATGCTATGTGCATGTTTATTGGGTCTAGTGTGCTTTTTCATTTTTCTTTTCAAAGCATCAAAGCTTTTAGCAATGTCATTAATAGAGCTAAAGGTGAACTTGGGTACCAAAGCTGCTTTATTGTGCAATATTACTGCATGGATTAACAGTGTTTGTATGCTTTGTTGTCATTTGCCAGGTTTTTTTATTATTATTATTTCTATGAGTTTGTAAGCTGTCGGTGCAATAATTACGGAGCCAAAGAGATTAATTATATATGTTTTTGTTCTAGAGAAACACATCCTCTGACTAAATCTGATGGAAAGCACACTAGATCATCAAAATATGCACAATACTTGCATGATTGTATTGATGACGACCGATAATGATGGCAATGTTGATGATAATGGTTATGATTTAGATTTAGAGGGAAGGTCAAGAATGTTGCCGTTTAAAGTAAAATTAGTGGATCGTTGTATGTTTATACAGAATTAAAAATACAACATTTTCTGGATAGTAATAGTATATTTTCCTGTATATAGAGTTCTTAAGGTAAATACCATGCACCCTGTGTGGATGCCACAAAGTCATGTAAACATTAGACAAGGTTTTACTTGTTCTCATTTTGTTTATCTGTTATAATTGTTAAAGAGATTTTTACTACCATATGCTATCTCTCTCCCTTGTTGTTGCTTGACAGTTTTGTTTATGGGATTTTAGAAGAAAGTTTTGGATCAAGGGTGTTAGGTAGTGCCTTTCAGTATTAGAACGAAATCATTTAAATTGTCTCTTGAATAATGTCTGTAAAATACTGTCATACCCATGACAATAAAGATGTAATACCGTACTGAATGTGATTTTTTTTTAATGCAAAACTTGATCTGGACTTGACTTATTTATTCAATATAATTTATTTAGCCCAAAATAGATTGTATGTGTTTATCAAGGGAATTTTTATTCATTACTACTACCCTAATGAAATTCTGGTAAATGTAATACTTAAGACTCTTTTAAAGTTATTATAGTCTATTCTTTAAAACTATAGTAATTTTTTTTAAGTATTTTGGAACTGAAAGGTTACCCAAACTGATAAATAACCAATAACATGGAGAATAACTTGTCTTTTCCTGCTTGTCAAAGCCCTGTGTAGCTTAGTTTAGAAACTTATTTAAATTTTCCACATGTGGATAATTATCATCACAATTATGTTACACAAGGCGGTTGGTTATACTGCGTTTAAACAATAAAATAAGTACAAATAATACATAAGTACTTTTATAGGTTTACCTCAACTCGTAATATTAGTGCAAAGTGTGGGGTAAATCCTTTATATAGGCTAATGTCCGAACACGAAGCGTTGTTTACTTTTAGTAATACATTTATAGCTTAGTTTTTGCTTCTTTGAGGTATTTAACACCATATAAAAATATTTCTATAAGTTCTTACCGTACCATTCAGTTTTCGCTTGTTTCGCTTTGCGTTTGACTCTCCTCAGCCTCCGTCCTCCGTGCTGACGGTCAGAATCATGGCGGTTGTCGCTCTGATTTGCCGTCCTGTGGGTGTCCTTCCCAAGCTTTCAGGTGAGTTCGCAGTTAGATTACTTTACCATACAGACAATGTGACTGTACAGAAACACTAATATTGCTGAGAATGTTAACAAGACGAATGATAAAGCGATTAGATGATGTTTAAACAAAATCGTTGTCTTGTGTTTTGTGACCCCGGCTGAAGACATCAGGCCTCAGTTGTGCATTAGTACAGCTGCAATATATTACGTTACTATTGTCAGTTATGTCATTTAAAACTATAAACACGGGCAGTTTAGCTGTAGAACCTTAGTTTTGTCACATTTTCTGCACTTAATGCAGTAATTGTGTAACGTTACTGTGTGCCGTGCAGCATAACCGGAGACAATGTCAACACATACCTATTAATAGACATCACAAGCGCACATACGATACCCAGAATGCTTATTTTATCAATTTCTATTTCCTTTATACGTTCTGCAACCTTTAACATACAATATTTTTATGCTAAGTATTGTTATTCTGAAAGTCGTACTGCTTTTTTTCCACGGTTAACCCTGTAAAGCCTGACAAATGAAAAGATAGCCAGAAAACTTTTTTTTTTTCATTGAATAGTTTATTGTAGGTTTAGATTTTAAAACATTTAGTTTTTAAACTTTGCATATCTGTTTTATGTTTTGTCATGTTGAAGGCATTGTTGTAGAAGATGTGTTATAAAGAAATTATAATTTGTGTACAACAGATTTTTCAGCTAAGTTTTGATTGTTGATTGTCATTTAAAGGCCTTAGAAATGCATGTACCAAGTATTATACAGTAGGCTTTATAGGGTTAAGATACAGTTTAATCAATGTACTTGAATTGTTGCTGTAGACATACTTATATATTTTTGTTTTTACATGGTTTATTTCTTCTGTCATCAGGCACCTGTTCTCCGGTTTTGCTGGCTGCTGGTCCTGTGACGGTTCAGCACAGGAAGATCCACCATGCCATGGTGCCCAGAGGAAAAGGAGGCCGCTCATCCTCCAGTGGAGTAGCTGCGACAGTGTTTGGAGCCACTGGCTTCCTGGGGAGATATGTTGTCAGCCGACTCGGTGAGTCATGATATTATTCATCGTAAAAACCTGAATGAGCCTCATTCACTTATATACTATCCATTGCCATTTCATTGGTTTGAAAAATAAAGTATGGGTTTGTTTTAGGACGTATTGGCTCCCAGATCGTGATTCCTCACCGATGTGACCAGTACGATCTCATGTACCTCAGACCTATGGGCGATCTGGGCCAGATCATCTTTATGGTAAATGCATTCACCACCATTTGTCTTATTTCCAGAAGAAGAGTTTCCTCTCTTAATATGCTTTTTGATGCTTTTACAGGAATGGGATGCAAGGGATAAGGAATCGATCAAAAGAGCGATTTCTCACTCCAACGTTGTGATCAACCTTGTGGGAAGAGAGTGGGAGACCAGGTACTAGAAAATAGAGCTGCATGATTTAGGGAAAAAATATCATTGTGGTTCTGATAAAAATTGCAATGTGATTGTGATTTCAAAAATATGATTAAAAGAAATGATTGAACTAAATTCTTTCTAAACGAAACAATTTTTACTCCGATACCTCGAGGTGGTCTGTAGATGTATTCGAATAGATTATGTTTCTATTAAACATGCTGTCTTTTTTCCTCTTTTAAAGCAACTACAAGTTCGAAGACGTCTTCGTCTCCATCCCCCAGCAGATCGCAAGGGCAGCTCGTGAAGCCGGAATCAAAAAGTTCATCCATATGTCCCACCTTAACGCAGATATCCGCAGCCCTTCCAAGTACCTAAGGAATAAGGTAATGGTTTAATAATGTAACATGCTTAATTAAAAACCATAGGTGTGCCAAAAACCAAATAGCAATTTAGGCTGCTAAGGTAGATAAAGTCAATAGTAATGCATTCTACAAAGGTAAAGTGGATAATTGTGTCATAACTGGTCATAACTCCTGCAGGCTGTAGGTGAGGCAGTGGTGCGGGAAGAGTTCCCTGACGCCATCATTATGAAACCTTCTGAGTGCTTTGGAAGAGAGGATAGGTTCTTGAACCACTTTGCTAGTAGGTGTCTGATTATGTCCAGAAATCAGTTACTGATTGTAAATATTAAAGAATATACCTTGTGTGTTTTGTGATGACAGAAGTAGAATTTGTTCTGTCTTAAAGGGACAGTTCACCCAGTTGTTAAATTGATATTTCCTGTTATTGCTGTTGTTTAGACATGCGTTGGTTTGGCAAAGCTGTTCCTCTTATTGCAATGGGCAAGCAGACAGTCAAACAGTCTGTTCATGTGAGTATCAACCAATTTGAACACAAGTAAATGTAAATATGGTTTATGATTATTTCAGATTAAAGATGCAATATTTGACTTTTTAAAGGTGGTGGATGTGGCCAAAGCAATCGTCAATGCCATTAAAGACCCCGATGCTAATGGGAAAACATATGCATTAGTTGGGTATGAACTAGCCCAATTTCTCTTTTTTTCAAATTCACACTTTCCGATCTATGATTTCTTGTGTCCGAAACAATGTGAAATGAATCTCTTGCTCCACAGGCCCAACCGGTATCTACTTCATGACTTGGTGGAGTACGTATATGCCCTGGCCCACAGGCCGTATTTGGCTTACCCTGTACCTCGCCCTCTCTATCAGTAAGCATTTCCTAAAAAATCTCTTCACATTACTTATCTTAAAGGTGAAGTATGTTAATAGTGTCACCTAGACAGGGTTCCTGCAGGTTTTCTGAAGGTAAATTTTAAGAGGTTTGAAGACCTTTTTAAGACAAGGAAAAGAAAATGTAAGGAATAAATTGAAACTATAAAATATAATACTTTTTATACAAGATCTCAATTACTTTATTTTATCCAAAAAAAAAACTTATGGCTTGAATACAAACACTAGAATATATAATTATATCTATTACTGTACCTTCTGACCACTTCATCAGTAGTTTTGTCTTGTTTCCAGTGTAAATGTTTAAACATTCTTAAATCAACTTCTACATTTACTTAAGCGAAGTTGCATAAAATAAGAAGTCTTGTTTTATTAGAAGTGAGTTTATGCTTAAAAAACAAGAACAAATATCTGGCAAGTTGAAAAATCAACTCAATGCAAAGGGAAAACTAGTTTTGTATACCCCATTGACAAATGTTTGTTCTTGTTTTAAGCATAAACTTTTCAGAAATCAAGACTTAATATGTTTAGTTTTCGTCTCGAGTAAATTTAACTTGATTTGAGGAGGTTTAGATATTTGTATTGGAAAACAAAACAAATTCTGAGGAAGCTGTAGATCTTTTGTTGTTGTTGTTGTTGTTGTTGTTGCACTGAATACAACATTTAATGGGTCAAGAAAATGTGTCATACAAAAATCATACAATCTTCACCTTTAACCTGACAATTTACAGAAGTTTACATACATTCCCTTTGTGTTTTCTGGTTTTAGCCTCATTGCAAGATTTTTTGAGATGAACCCATTCGAGCCCTGGACGACCCGTGATAAAGTCGACCGGGTATGTGTTTTAGAGCATTACAAAATTAGATATTTTGTATGTTGTCAAGAACATAAATAGTTGAAACTGTCTTTTGTAGTTCCACACAACGGACATGAAGTACCCTGACCTCCCAGGACTGGAGGATTTGGGCATCACACCGTCCTCCATCGAGCAAAAGGCCATTGAAACGTTGCGTCGTCATCGCCGTTTCCGCTACCTGGATGCTGAGATCGGAGAGACTAAACCCGCCAAAACAGTCAGCTATTAAACAAGCGGCAGTTACTCCTGTGTCCAGTCAGATCTCTGCTGGTCCTCACGTGTTGTCTAGTTTAACTTTTTTCTGTACATAAATAAAGATATTCAACCTTATATCCTTGGCATGTTTTTTTTCCCCTTGTTTGAGTGTGATGCATTATCTTATGTTTGCCCCACAAGTGTAAGAAAAAATTAAAGATGGGACAAATGTGATTTTAAAAATGTGAGATGTTTTGTGAACAACAGTTGCAAGAGTTTATATTTAATATTCAGTGTCTTTAAAATGACTTGTGATCTGTATGCTAAGTTATAGGGGCTGTACAAGTTTGATAGAAATTAGTATTGATCGCATGAAGATCAGGCTATTCAGTTTATTTTTTTAATTCAAGAGTTTTGTTTTCTTGTGTTGCTACATCCGATCCCATGTTTCTTGTTTAAAAATATATTTTCTAACAAAAAAATTTTACTTTAAAACTTATTCAGCAAAGATAGATTAAAATGGATCAAAAGTGACTCATATTTGTTACTACAAAAAAAA